AGAATGTTTAAAGGGCACCAAGTCTTGGCAGGCACCACAGCTGAAGTCTGGAAGTTCACGGAGGTTCATGGAAGTGCAGAATTGACAGAAGGATCAAGTGGATCCTTCAAGTGGAACCGGGAAGAGGCTGTGGCATCAAGTGGACGCTCGACAGAGAAATATCTTCAAGTGAGAGCTGAACTGGAAAATGAAACAGCCCGGGCTTCGTGTGGCATGAGACTCAGCGCCAGCATCCCCCACGGCCACTGCTCCCCAAGGGGCCTTCCTGGTGGGACACCACACTCCCCTCATTTCAACCCTTGATCAGAACTCAGGGGATGCGGAGCCTGTGTTTTCTAGGGATGTCAGGCTTGGAGGTCCTTCTGCGAGTGTCTGACCACAGGCAATATAAGATCATCCTGCCTAATCCCCCAGCCAAAGCTCAGTTCTGTTCTAGAACATGCTTGGATAAAATACTTGTGGATAGCCCGCCTTCCATATTGGATCAAACATTTCTCAGTTTGAAGAACTCTTCTTTCGAAGGCAACTCGTCAATGTTTTTTTGTTAAAGATTTTATTTATTGGGGCGCCTGAGTGGCTCAGTCGTTAGGCGTCTGATTTTATTTATTTATTTGACAGAGACATGGCAAGAGAGGGAACAGGGGAATGGGGGAGGGAGAAGCAGACTTCCCACTACACAGGGAGCCCGAGGTGGGACTCGATCCCAGGACCCTGGGATCATGACCCGAGCTGAAGGCAGGCGCTTAATGACTGAGCCACCCAGGCGCCCCCAACTTGTCGATATTTAAACCTGCATTGTTGGAAATGTGGTTTTCCCGGGTTGAGTTAAACCTGCCTTTCTGATATTGCTGACCATTTGGATCCTGCTTGCTTTTGTCCTTTGGATTTGCACAGAATAACTGAATCTATTTTGCACATAACCGCCCCTTCCATACTAGCAGGTAAACCTTAGTTGCCGTCATGATGTTATTATTGTGTGCCCATCATGTGTGTTGGCCACGGTGCTAGAAACAGACACACTTGGTCCTCGAAACAACCCTGTTTATTGATTATCTCATTTCACAGATGGGCTTGGACGAGGTCTTGAACCCTTGGCCGTGGCCTTTGCACGGCCTTGGTTCTCCTCCCTCCCGGAGGGACCTGGGCTCCTCTCCAGCCAGCCTGTCACATTAGGTATGCAGTCAGTGCTGTTCACCTGCGTCTGTGAGGTCACCCACGTCCTCACCTTGGAGGCTGGTTTTGTCCAGGTGTGAACTTCCCAGCCTGCTCGCTCTCTCTCGAATTCCATCGTACTCATTTGGCCTCTGGAACTCGGAAAATATCGGAACACTTTCTTGTCTGCTACAGAGCTTACCTTGAAAGAAAGAAAGCAAGAAAAAAGGACCCGACCCAATTCCTGCCCTAAAAAGTTTGCAGTCACACCGGGACAATGAGGCATTCATAGAAAAGAAACGTGGAAGACGCAGGCAGAGCCTCTCCTGAGATTCTGTCTCTGCCTCTGTCTCTGTCTGTCTCTGTCTCATTCCCGTGTGAATCACTGTGCGGACCTCTCGTCCATCCATCTTAACTGTTACTTAAACCCACCACTGGCCCGTAACCGGCATCGAACTGGGCTTTGTATCCGCGATAGGACGCAACAGCATCTTTTTGGATGATGTCATTTTATGCGGTGGTTGAGACATTAAGGGCTCTGAGCGACCATTTGTTTATTGGATAGGGAGTGTCTATTGGCCTGGCTTGCTTTGGAGTTTGAAGGAGGGGTACGGGGGGGTCAAGGACGGTGGGGCCTCGTCATCCTGTCACGCCTCATCCCCGGGTCTTAAAGGCCCCCGGTGGGGTTCCACAGCAGCAAATGCTTGAAAGGTGGTGTGCAGTGAGCTCAGCGGGGACTGCTTTATAAAGAAGACCCCAGGGGGCCCCCTGGATGGGAGTTCGAATCTATGCGATTGGCCTCATTTGCATTGATTTGCTGGTTTTCAAAATACGTCTCCAGGAAATGCTTTCTGAGATCCCCAAAGAAAAGACCTTTGTGGTTGGAAAGGGCTTCGTCACGCCATGGGCAGGCAGGACTGCATCGCACAGCCCTGGCACTGTCCTGCTCAGCCGTGGCCCGGCAGGTGCTCGGGGATGACTCAGCTCTCCGAAAAGAGCCTGGAGTGACTGAAACCGCCGGGTTGTGTTGTGTTGTGCTGTGTTGTGTGACTCAAGTGGGCCACTTTGTCCGTGTTGGCACGGGAGCCAGCCGAGGACAAGGAAGGACAAGGAACTTTGTCACATATTTACTCTTTTGTCACTTGCAGGAAAAATGCATTGTTATGGCTGCCTTTCCGGAATCAAGGACAATCATCTGTGTCCTCGAAGTGACAGGAAAGCATTTGAGAGACCGTGTCGTCTCTCACTCCCTCGGCTGTCTTGGTCTGTTCAAAACCCAGGGCCAGAGATGCATGTCACTGCGGGGATGCCTGTGGTTTGTGTCTGTGTGTTTTGCTTGGTTTTGTGTGTTTTTTGGGCGCACAACGTTATTTATGTAAATGCCTGTTTTGAACATGAACGGACCCAGTGTGGCTCCTGGTCCTGTTGGACGACGGTGGCTCTTGCAGATCCAGTTCCAGAGGGAGGCACTTGTCCTTCCCTGCTTTTCAGCCAGAGAAATTACAGGCTGAGCACCACTCCTGTCTCCTGTTCCAAAGTCCGCGGGGGCCCATCTGGGCGCACTGGGTGTTTCTGGCTCAGGTTTTGCAGGCCGTGGGAACTCTGGACGAGATAGGATTATCCTGTGATTACTTCGGGGTCCTGTGGCTTTTACTGGACCGTTCGTGGCCGCGGCCGCCTGCACTCCTTCCTCCCCTGGCTTCCTGGTCTCTCGCTGTTAAGGATCACGAATGGATAGGAAGCGTGGATTTCGAGGCCTGACTGATCGTTCCTTTCAGAGGGCTCTTAAACTGGGAACGCCGCCAGGGGGATCAAATTCTCATTTCCTGAAACTGCACCCAAGCCTAGAACTGGTGAGATAGCTCAGAGGCCTGAGAATGCTCAGGCAGGATGCTTCGGAAAGTAACCCCAGGGATGTGCTGCGATTTTCTGCCCCGCGTGGACCAGTGTGGAGTGGGGGTACTGTCTTGATGTATCTAAGGAGCAGACATAGGACAGGTTTATTAGTAGGTGAGGATCACACCATTTAAAGGCTTACATGGTGATCCTCCCACCTGTATATTGGACAGTGTACTTTCCTTGTACCCAGAAAGGTGTTGACCTTTTATTTAAATTAAAAAAAATCTCAGAGCTGGGGCGCCTGGGTGGCTCAGTCGTTAAGCGTCTGCCTTCGGCTCAGGTCATGATCCCGGGGTCCTGGGATCGAGCCCCGCATCGGGCTCC